CGCCCCGGGTCTGGCAGGAAAGTTCTGGAAGAAGCCTCGGGCTCCCGCACCACAGCCCCTGCCGTGGCGTGGCCATGCCAGCCAGCAGGGTCAGGGCTCTGAACTCAGCTTCAAAGCGCGTCCATTGCAAAAGTGCACTCGCTCCCTCACTTGCATTACATAAAATGGCCAAATATGGACATGCATAATTCATCTTTTGAAAGCGATTTTTTTTTTTCATAAAATAATGTGGTTTTGAGACACCGACTCATCGACATACACATGTGGGCAGAAGGGCACTGCGCGCTCCTGCTGCCAGCCGAGCCTGCCAGGAGCTGCCCGGCTATGGGAAACATCCATCAAAGACCTGAAACACATTTAAAACAGCAGAAACCTTTCACACTAGCAAAACATGGAAGCTGATGGTACATAAAAAGCAATGCGGTAACGACCAGTAGTAACTGGTATTATAAGAAATGTTCATCTGTTCCTCACAGATTAGTATATGCTGCTGTAATTCTCCATCTTGGCAGCCTGCTCTGGGGAGTACTGGAGACACTCCTCCATCAAACTAGATTAACAGTTTTTATTACAACTTCTTAAGCCATTAGCATACACATGCTAAACATATGCTAAACATATGCTAAAACACTTGAAAATATAGCGAGATAATAGATTTAATGGTAGTTCACAAATTAATTTGCCATTTTGTGGCCCTAATCTATACTGATCAGCCCCATTATTTCACAGCTGTGCTATGAGGTTCTGCTACAATGCCTATAACATTTCATTAATGCTATTTCTGCTCATTAACCAGCTGTGTAGGGTCCTCCCCCCACCATCCTCAAAGTGGAACAAACTCCCATCTATGTCAAAAAGCCTTTATCCCTCCTCTTATTTTATTATGCAACTCACAACACCAGTGTGGGCAGACAGCAGCATCTGGCATCGTCAGCATTTCTGTTGTATGAGGCAGCTCCCCAGAGAAACAGCTCCTTGCGTGGCCAGAACCATCCAGTGGTAGCACAGCCTTTGCCAAGAGCACAAGCCGTGCTTCCGTGGAAGTGTGACAAGGAATCAGTTCAACACTGCAAGTTTAATATCTTTTGTTCTGGAAACTGAAAACAGATTACATCCACTAAATACAGTGTGGGATTTTATTTGGGATATTTTGGGAAGAAGGACAAAGGGAATGGAGTAGGAAAGTCCAGTATATTTTATGTTGTAAAAACAGAAAAGCAATTCTTTGCTTTTCCTGTCCTCTGAGAGTCCTCTTGGTTCTGATATCCACAGAAAGTTCCGTGCTAAAATAACTGTACTCTATAGTATGTGAGAAAGGTTCAATCTAACTGTAAACTCTAAGAAAAGCATGCCGCCCCCCGTTCCCAGAAGACAGATGCAGCAGAGTACTATACTATTGCAAAGGTCAAATATCTGTATTTTAATAAGTTAGAAGAAATCCAGATATAGAACCCATAGAGTCACTGAAATGTTAACAAGTTAATATATTTTTAAAGCAAATAGAACACAGTGTACACATAAAAACAATTTAATACAATGTGAAAACCATTAGATGCACCTACTAATGCAGATTTTTGGTTATTTTTCAGCTCTTTCACTGAAACTTGGAAACCATGCTCTTCATTTCAGTTACACCAGGTTAAGTGGTGACACTGATCTACAGCAAGCAAATCACTGCCTTTTCTTTCACCTGGGAAAGACAGCACCACGGCAAATTATAGTCTCTCCAGAAGTGCACAGCCTGTCTTGTTTGGTGCCCATTTGCCCCACGCGCTAAGCTATACAAGAAACCAGATGTGGACTGATTGTTTCTTCTGAATAGTAAAGCTCTGTAAGTGCATCCTTGCTGTACAAAAAAAATAATAATAATAAAAAAAAATTAAAGTGACAACATAGAAAACTGGCAACAGATAACCATGTCTGCCTAAAATATACACATATGATACATAATTATGGGCCATGCTGGCCAGTACGTAAGTCTGTTCGGGAGCAAAGCTTTAATTGCACAGGATTACAAAACTGAACAAATGCTTTTACAGAGCAAAGCACAAGCTTTGGTTTATGCTTAGACAGTGAACATTAAACCTTCCATTGTTATTATAACATCTATTAGGAAAAATGGCTCCTTTCACTGCTACATGCAATAGTTGTTTCTCTATGAATAAACACTCCATTCCATACAATGAATGAAGCTCAGTGTCTTATTCAGTGAACCCATTAGCTGTATCTACACTGGGTATGCATTAAATCTTTATGAAAAGCTACTGAATTACAAAAAGTTTGACTTATTTCCTTCACAATTCCCCAGGTCTCCCCCCTCCCCCCATTTTTAAAATGCTGCATATATAAAAATAACTTCAATATGGCACAAAAGTAGGATTCTCAAGGGAAGGCAAAGGATAAAGGAGTAAAGGGAAGCCTCCACTGGCAACATCAACAAATTACAGTCCAAGAGGAATTTGCACCCTATACAAAATGAGCTTCCCTGTGTTCCAGTTCTTGGATTCTTTTTGGTCTCAGTCTCTGGTAAGTAGGCTTCAGATCTGTGGGGTGAATATCCTCTGAGCTAGTTTTTTGTTCATTTGTGTTTTGTTCAGGATCACCTGATGGAAGTGCTGCGCTCCTAGCCAGTTTCTCGGTATTATCCTGGTGAAGCACAGAGCTAGCACTGGTTGGTGCACAAGCTTTAGCAAAAGAACCCTCTTCATTTTGCTTTGATTTGTTAGAGGGTGGTTTGTAAAATGTCCCTGGGGGTGGTTGTAATGTTCTTGGTGCCCTGAAGGCTGCAAGAGGATTGGCATCAGGACCATTCCCTTCTGTTGCTGTCCTTCCTGACCTGACAGAAACAGAATATGGCTTACTAGGAAGAATGGCATTAGCTGAATTGTTACCAGTGCTGCATGATGAAGGTAAGGCACCTGCAGTTCCACTCTCAAGTGCTCGGTTCTCCTGGGGCACGTTAGTCATGATCATTGCTGTCCTTGCTGTGATATCATACTGTTTATATTGCTTGTCCCAAGTTTTTCTCAGCATCTGGGTGTCATAACAAGGAAGTCTGCAGCAAGTATTAACAGCAGGGAGTGCCTTCACCTCTGAAATTTCTTCAATAGTAGGGCTCCTGCCAAGCTTCTCTGGACTTACTGCGCCTGCATTTCGTGAGTTTCTTTCATTTAAAACACACGGAGGAAGTATTCGGTCTACCGGTAGGCTCACAGGGCGAGTAGCTGGTTTTGTCCTTGGAACGCGCAATGGAACTTTGGTAATCTGACGGTTAGGTTTTGCAGGAAATAAGTTAATTTTACAGCCGTCTTCACCTACAGAAACAAATGAATCATCTCTCTCTGAAGCTGGACTCACAGCATCACCTAGAAACACACAAATAGATGTGACTGGATCTTTGCACCAAATATAAAGAGAAGTCAGCAAGACTTTTGCCAACAGAATATGAACTTTATTCATGATCCCTTGACAGTTCATATTTTAATGGGATAGCAGTTTTTAGGAGTATCCTACTCTAAGCCAACATTAGCCTTTCAGTAGCAGTAAAACACATACTGTGCAGCTGTAACCAAGGAGACAACAGGCAAAGCGAAACTGCACTTTTTCTTTTTTGGCTAGTACTTTCCCGTCCATCTCTGAATATTTTCAGGTTTCAGAATGTTAAACTGTTAATGTACAGGACATGACTGAACTGGTAACACCAGCTAAAAAACAGTATAATTAAAAGGTGCCACGTGTAGTTACTCCTAAATAAAGTAGATGAAATCATACCTACTTTAAAACAAACCACTGTAGTAGCACAGGCAGATAAACAGGAAAAAAAAAAAATCTTATAGAAGATTTATAGTTAGGTTAGCAAACCTGGCTTTTTTGGAGCAGAAATGTTAATATCCAAAATGCTGGTAGCTGATGATTCTGTCGGAGAATTAATCTTCCCAAAGCCTTCTGGTTTAGTTCCAGTGAGTGGCAATGATACACATTCTGGGGGAAAACAATGGTCAAAACATGTTAATTGGTGGAAATTGGTTTGCATCATCATAGTGGATTTCAGAAACCCACAGTCACAGCATAAATAAAAAAAAAATTTAAAAAAAAATTAAAAAAAGGAGAAACCAAAACACTCTTCTATTCTCTTACCAAATACTTTAAGTTCTGATTCCATTAACACAGGTTTCTTGAAAGCCTTTAGAAAGATTTAACTCGGTGTTTCTCTTACAAAGATAAACATTGTATCAAGCAGTGATAAGCAGGTTTTATCACTTGCTTCTGTCTAAATGGAAGAGCAGCGTACACTATAATCTAACGCGTCCATGACTGCTTACTCACCCACCCCAGTACTTAATAAAAGCACACTAACCAGTTGCAGATGTATCTACTTGTTCTTTTGTATTCTTGCTATTGTTTGATTCCAAAAACAACGCAGCTGTTTCTGAAGCTCTGTTTTCACTTGAAGCTATCAAAACACCCTGTTAACAAAAGTCAGAGAAAAAGTAAACAAGAACTCAAGAGGAAAAAGCACTCCTTAACAAAAATTCCCACAAAAATTTAATTGAAACGTGCTCTGGAACGCTGCAGCATTTGACGGAGAAGTTAAGGTGGCACAGGGAACATTGCAGCAGTACAAGAAAAGTTACTCACTTCCTTTACAGCAACAAACAACTTCCTCTGCGGCTGTGGCTCCCTCTCTTCTGCTGATAAAGCAACTCTGTCTGTAACGGCAGTTTCTTCAGACTGAGATGTGCTCAGAAGTGGTTTCAGTGAAACATCAAATATCTTTTCATAGTATGTTATGAGCAACTCCACTACCCGGGCCTGGTAAGGGTAATCCACAAGTGAGGACAAAGAAACTGTAGCGTCTGTTTGACGTGGCCTGATCAGAGTTGGGCCAAATATTATGCCAAGGTTGCTGGCTGACATCTTATTTTCATCAGACTGTTCTGTAACCCTGCATAAAGAGGGAAAAAAAAATCCAAAACCCCAAGAGTTAGAGGGTTTTACTACTTCAAAAATATTTTAGGTTTTAAAATATTATCTTATGTCTAAAGAGTTTAGAAGACAATAAAAAAAATGAAGGTGTGTTTAATTGGCAGGCAGAATCTTCAGTGCAGACTGCATTTAACAGCAGCTTGGACTAAGTGCTTTCCACACAGGGTATTTTTACATCCTATTTGGTTAATGTTATTTGTGGCTATTTGGCATTTCTGGGGTTGGGGAAAAGACTGTCTCTCTCATTCTAAGTAATAATATAGCTGTGGCCCAATATTACCCATTTTTACTGGCACTCATGAGCTTGGCACATCCTCATCACACATCATCATACAATCCAGCAATTGGAGGATAACGAAGTGAAATGTAACTGGAGAACAGTTATTAACAGACATGATACAAGTTTCAATTTTCTGTTAATAGCCACTAATTCTCTGCCCTATCTATCTGGGTCATATCCTGTTTTAAATCACACCTAGGTCCCTACAGCTGCCACTACTTACTACTTGCTATCCTCAGTGCTAGCAGAGAATCAAGAATAATGGAGCTCAGCTCTTCCCCCCCTTTCTTTCAATTTCATATTCTTCTCTCACCTGAGAATTATGTTAGAAAAAGAAACAGCAACAGAACAATGTCTTCTAAGGTATATGTGAGTTCTTCCTCTACAGTCATCAAAAGGGTACAAGAGTTTCCTAGTATCAGTTTCTTTTTCAATATCTGTTTGCATTTAAAATCTTTTCTCACCTGTGAAGGTGTCCAATAAGGTGCTGAAGAGTGTTATAGTTTGGTACAGGCAGTTGTTTCAGAAGATCTTTAATTTTAATGATGATCCTATTCAGTTCAATACAGATTGACTGTCTTTTCTTTGATTTGGGGCTAGTTTTAGTGTCCAATTCCTCATTAACATTCTGGCTTTCTTTTGCAAGTCCAATGAACTCATTGTAAAGCCGAAACAAAATCAAGGGTTCCGGAAGCTGAAGAAATAAGAACATTTCAGAAACATACTCAAGCCTGAATTTTAACTTGTTTCCTTCCTGTTTTCCTTCAACTTTGTCTGGTCTAGCATCTTTTCTTGGATGATTACTTTGCTTACTCCTTGTTCATTAGCTGAAACCAGAATTTGTCAAATCCAGTCCCAGGTAACAAAAACACTCCAGCCTTTCCCTGGAAATCTTTTGCTAGCCCTTTACTGCAATAGCTTCAAGACTGAGCATTTACCAATACAGGTACAGATTTCACGAAAGTGATTGCTACAAGGAAGGGCGTTACACTGCATAGGCACAAATACCATTATAACACAGCAGTTATTTTTCAGTCTTTGATAGTATATTACATGAGGTATCAAGTTTGATCCATATTCCATTTTTTAAAATTGGATTTTTGGCCATGTAACATTCGTTTTTAATTGCGATTTAAGTATTCTCTCAGAATTAAAAAAGGTTAATAATAATTAAAAAATTACAAAAAAAGATACAAAAACCTCAAACTTGACGGGGCTATTTGTATTGCCCCAACTAAGATAAAAGCAAAAAGTAGGAAGACTAGATAGAACTCAATTAGTTTTAATAAATAGCCTCAAATATAGTTTAACTCCAGATTCTGTCTAAATATGTCTTCATTGCATGTTTATAGCACTGTTCATGCATTTTAAATTAGCAGGTTTACCTAAAAACCACACCAACAGATCAGCTACAAAGGAAGTAGTAAGACCAGAAGAAAACACATTTTACTTTGTTATTATTATTATGAGCCCTCTTAAAAATACAGTACAGTGCCTCAAACTGGTACCCCAGTATGATGCATATAATATGTATACTACCTTTTTACTTGAATAAGTAGGCAGAGTACATTTTTGTAATTTTTCAAAAGCACTTAACTTAATGGTGATCGTAGGATTGGAACGCCCATCCCTGACAGCTGGTGTGAGGAAGAGGACAGGACCATGCAGCTAAGGATTATTCTTTTCAGGGTTAACAAGTTTTCAGTGCGACTCAGTAATTTCACTGGGCAACATCCCAGCTTCATTTCTTCAGACACATACTGAAACTGGTTCGGAAAACTCAATTATGAAGCTTTAAAGCTCCATTTTGAAAGAAAAAAAAGGATAATCCCTCCAAAATGAACACATTACCATTATGAGTGTTGCATGAATTTTTTGTTAGCATATATTAGCAGCAATGTATTAGCATCTGCCTGTGTGAGGAAGCAAGAATATGTTGGACTAGATGATCTCCTGAGGTCCCTTACAAGCCCTACAACTCTGTGATTCTGTGAAATTCAGTAATCAGAAAAGTTTCAGAAATGAAAGCTTCAGTACAAGTGGATAAAAAAACCCCAACTTATTCTGCATGTAGTACTAGTATTTAAAGAGACATTACGCTCATGTGGAATACAGATTGTAATACTAGCAGTCAGTAATCTCACAGTTTTCCATGCCCCTATCACAGGCTCCATGTGAAAATAAAGAAGCCTACTGCAAATATACAAGGCACTCATTTAATCTTCGACTGCAGGACTGCTGAAAAGGATTTTTTTTCCCCTCTTGTACTTAAGAATGTACTACATTACTTTGCTTTTCCATCTGACCTCTCAAGTACATACCTGGCGGAGATACAGCTTGAGAACATTGCTGATATCATGCGCATAGAGTTCTGAGAGCTCGACCAAATCCTTTCCATTTTCAAAAGCTTGACAAAGCTTTTCAACTCTTGATTTCGCTCCATTCACACGATAGATGCCCTGAAATTAAAAGACCAGCAAAACTCTATTTTAATTTGAAAGGCAACTGTAAAATACAGATTATATCAACAGTACAGCATTAACATCTTATGAAGTTGGGTTTTTTTTAAAGGTTGTTCATACTTAAGTTTTATAAACAAACTTGAGCATACCTTGACATTCAGCGCTCTGCTTTCAATTTCTGATGTACACTTTTTGATGATAAAAGGAATGCCATCAGGAACATTTTTAGCAGCTTGGGCAAATTCCACTCCAAACAAGTGAAGCCTTCCATGAAGTTTTTTGTGCCCACATTGAATAGCTAAAGTCTCTAAACATTTTTTATGGCATGCAAGTGAACACTACAGGGGAGAAAAAAGGCACATGGTTTGATATAATCTGACACCATAAGAAATATCTCTGCTGTTTGTCACCCCATATGTGAGCAAAAGGAAAGATTTATTAGTCTGCTGTGCTTCTGCTTTGAGTTCACAATGATTCTACATGCCACAAAGTCTGTTGTTTTTATATAGAAAAATAATGCAAGTTTAAAACTTCCAACTTTCCATAAATCCCGAGAAGCAATTTAAACTGCTTTTCAACCTACCTCCTCACATTCAGCTCCATGAAATACCACTAAGCTGTCACATTCTCTGCATTTAGATGGAGCTCTCAGCTTCCGCAGTTTGTGTGTTTGTGCTGCTTTGGACATATTAGTGTTTCTAAAAGGTCCTGGAGAACTTGCAGTTTCAGATGTCAGATCATTTAAACCTAGAGAGAATTTCTCTGTTACATTCATTCTAATATCTACTATTGGGATAGGGTATTTATTCTTATTTTTTAGAACTGTGTTGCATGACACAGATTTCTGTAAGTAATAGCAACCAACAAAGTAATCAAAACCATTTAAATCATAAGGAAGCAAAACAATGTTACAGTTTACATAACAGATACAATAACTATCAAATAATCTTACGTAAAAGTAGAATTAAATTATCAGGTTTGCATTTTTAAGTATTTCGGTTTTCTCCTGTGTTAGTGGCATGTGAAAATATTACGACATTTAATTCCACTGCCCTGCAATTCAGGCAACTATTCATGAAAGTTTAATTCTATGTATTTCAAAATCCTGTACGAGAAGATGAAAGGTAACATCATGGTTTGGCCTGCAGTGTTTCTGAAATGCTTAAAAAAGAGTACTTTACAGCAGGGAAGAATTAACACACACTCACAGCAGAATCCATATAAAACAAAGAATCACTGATTCTCAATCTCCTATGATAACATAAAAATATTTTCTAGAGGATTCTAAAACTGAATAACAACTGGTGCTTTTTGTGACCAGTTTTTTCAGGCAATTTACTTAAAATGCTATCAACAATTTGGTGAACCAAAATCTTTTGTTTTACAGATAAAAGCTTAAAATTAACACATACAGTTAATTGCCTAAAAAGCTTATTAAAAGCTCAAGTATTGATTAAACAATACCACTCCAAGTGAAAGTTTGCATTCATTAACATGCTGCCATGCTTTAAATCTGGATCTGAAGTAGTACTGTTAACCACAGGCTCATTCCTAGAAGGCAACGTATACATTTAGGAAATAAGGACTAACTGAAGAATTTCCTAAAGGCTTTACTGAGCAAGTGCCACAAATATTTCAGGATGAGTTTGTAAGTACTGCAGACATCCCATCTCATAGAAGTATTTCACATCCAGTTATTCAGGTTTCAGTACCTGTGGCAACATTGTCTTTATATAGTCAAAGTTCATTTGAAAATTAGAAATGCTCTGGGTCAAATCTGGGAGAGAAATTACCAATTGCTTATCTAAGTTGAAAAGGGTAAAATCTCAATTACTACTCTAAACATTTGGATCCACTTTTTTCCAATTTGCCAATTACCAACTCTGCAAATCTGTGCATTTCACTTCATAGTTTGGAAGTGATCTTACATACCTCAGTGCCATGCAGACAATTTTAAACAAAAATGTCTGGAGGGAATGGTTAGTGGATCATTTATGTTACCTCAGGAGGGTGAAGACACTAGAAATGTTCAAAGGCTGCCCATATATTTAATCTAAATGTATGAAGACAATTCTGAACTGCTTCATTAAAATGACCAGAACATTATTCTTCAGCTCTCAACCTCAAGTGGATGCACACTGTATTGAAAAAGAATGCTGCTGGCAATCACAGCCTTGTTAATGTACTTTTCTTAAGTGCACTAAAAAGAAAACCCACACTCTACAACAAAAAGCATCTTCTGGGAACTTCAGATATGGAAATAACATTACCACAGTCTGAAGGAGATGGTGGCTCTCTTTCATCAAGATCATCTGCAGATGACATAGTACCAGTGGAAGGTGTTCGGGGAAGTCGTCTTTTAAAATCCCCTAGCAGACAAGAAAAATTTTCAGGAAGCTTTTAAGTATCGTTCCACTCAAGTGCTCATTTTCACTATAGGCTCTGTCCAATACTGGCTAAATTAACAGCATCTTCATTAATGTAAAACAGGCCATAGAAACGATTTCAACTTAGTATAGTAGTGAGTGTAGCTGTACCTGGGCTAGCAGATGGAGAATCCATGGATCGTGACTCACTGCTTCCCCCTGCACTTTCAGAATCGCTGCACATTCCTCCACTCTGGTTGCCAACTGACCATGATCTGAATGGTGGTGGCCCTCGCATTGCTTTTGAAAAGAAAATCCGAAAATTCCAAGAGTCAAGGACAAAATTACGTTATTTTATTTTTATTCAAAGACAAATTAGTATAAAAGTATTTTTATACTAAAAAATAGGAAAATATTGCAAGAGTTACATGAAGACACAATACAGTGAAAAAACCCACAGCATATATTCTTGTGACAGCTTCAAGATGTAAGAAAATGAATTTCAGAAACTTGACACTTGTGCTTTTGCAAAAGACTTGAAATCAACGTAGTATTTACAAAACCAATGGATTTTAAATTGCTAAAGTTAATGGAAATATTTTAATAGACTGAGCTTGACAGTAATTGCTGTCCGAATTGCACCTCGCCTTTCTTGTCTGAGAATCTAGGTAAGCATACAGGCAGTTTTCCATTTGCCCTTATGCTCAAATCCATAACTTTTTTTTTTTTAATAGGCTTCAAATTTTAAAGTGACTACTTCAGTGCTACATTTCTGACAGTGAGACATCAAACACCTGTTTTTTAGGGTATTTTTATTTGGAGACTGAACTCCAGATGAAATACAGAAAAACTACCTTGTATATCTGTGCTGCTGGAAGATCTCTTCTCTCCAATCTTTTGTGAACGATGATAAATTGGGCTTCCCACATCATCTAATGTCTGAGCAGGAAAATCTCCTGAACACTGAGATAGGTTACCATGTGATGTATGGACACTGTTGGTTGATTGATTATGAAAAACCCTTCAGAAAGAAGAAAGTAATTTGAAGAGTGAATAAGACAGAATGAAATGAAAAGCAATGTTTGGTGGTTTTTTATCCCTGGGCACTAGGAATGCTTCATTTAATTGCTGTTCATGAACATACATCTTTGACATGTAATTATTAAAGCCCAAATTAAAAAAAAAAAAATAAAAAAGGAGAACTGTGCCAATTTATTTTTAAATATGTGCAATTTCCCGATGTTCCTCACTTCCACGTAAATCAGTTTTTCCACACCTCTGCAAGGTATTATGACTGTTATTTTGCAGACTTTGAAAAAACAGCAAATCTGTTCATATAAAGATCCGAGTAATTCAAAGGCTATTGCAGCCTACTTTTATGCTTTCCTCCAAAAGATTCTCTGTCCAGCCATCAGGACCATTCACCTATAAACATATAGGTGTTAAAATGCTGCACTTTTTTAAAGCACAGAAAACGTGCTGAAGCTGAGGGAGAGCTTATAGTCAGTCCATTGTGAAAATCTGTTCTCAAAATAAGGAGAGAAAACTGTTAACAGTAATTAACGTAAAACGCTGAAGCACCCTGTGGACAAAATGGCCTGCTAGCCAAGTTAGCAGTCAGGAAGCTGTTCCTCTAAATCCGTTCTACCCTATACAGCTGAAGGAAATAAAGACTTAAAAAATTAAAATTTGCATTTGTCCAATCCACTGTCCCTTAAAAAAAAGGCAGACCTAAACAACAGAAACGATCACTTCAGGTACACAAAGAACCACAAGGCCATGTCAAAGAAAACAAAAGGTGGGGAGAGGGGAGGAGAAAAAACACACTCCTATAAATCTTAAGCAGTAAATAGCTGGGAAAGCACACAAAGAGTTTCAAATTTCATGCTCATCAGTTTCTTGGGGAGCTGCATAGTTAAATCCCCCAAGTCAATGTTTATGAGTACAGCCTAAATCAGTCTTAAAAGGCAGGAAATTTACAGACAAGAACTGAGAATCTCAACTTTAACTTTGAATTTCCTGGCTTTTGTTGGTAGAAGCCTGACTCAAGCATTAGGTTTTTTGTATTTGGTTTCCTTTTGAAAGACGATGACGACGCTTTCCTGTAGAACTGTGAAACACACAGATTGGAATGGATATTCTGGTGCTTTAGTGCCAAGAGGACTATTTTACAACAAGTTAAAGGTGGAAAAGCATTTGGCATGATTGTCCGGTAGTCTTTACTTCCACAGTAGCTGTATCATTAATAGATTAACAGTAAAAACTGCCATTTCACACAGGCTGGAAAAAAATAATTAAGTTACAACATACAGACATGTGGACTCTCAACTTTTTTTAGTCACACGGCAGGAGACAGAAATTGAGCAACACTTCCTGCCAAAAAAGTTGCCAAATGTAAACAATATGAAAGAAGGTACTGTAGCAGCAAGGTCTGTGGAAAAGTACCTCCCTCAGACTTTCTAAACTGATTATCAAATACTACTGTCACACCACACTGAGTTCAGAATTTTCATTTTTCCTATTAACCAGTATCTACATTAAAATAGTAACAAGTTAATTCTTGCACAACAATTGTCAATGTTTTAGCAAGTCTTACTACACAAAATTACATTCTGCTTTGGAATTTAAAGTCAGGTTTTAAAGTCAACATTATATATAATCTATCAAGAGACGTCAAAGAAATAGAGAATGCTAAAGCATGGTAAAACACCAGGATTCATTTTATTGCTCCAAAAATGTTGTTTTTACTGTTAAATACTTGTGCCTAACATTTCATTCTAAACCAAGCAAATGCCACCAGTAGTTTAGGACTTACCCATCAACCTGGGAACTCTGGGTTTCAAAAGAACCTGATTCAATTGGAACACCTTCCTTTGGCAAACTTTTCACAAACTCTGAATACTGCTGACCAGGGTCATAGAGTTTGGCACTCTCACAGAGGGACTGGCAGTTAACTGGGAGAGACACAACCTGAGCATGCTGCAGCTGGAACAGGTTAACTGTTGCCTGTTAGGAGAAAAAAAAATTGTAGAAAATTTACCAGATTTTTCACTTGTACTTTGCTCAACCCAAATTAATATCCCAACATAAAATTATTTAAACAATAAGACTAGAAAAACTCTGGAAAATAGTAACATTGGTAGGGATGGACTTTGTGCAAGATTCCTGAAAGTTAACTGCAAGAACTTCATTTGTAGTACAGATGCTAGTATTCCTTTTCTCTCTGGGTTATTAAATCCTCCAGGTAGCAAAGGCAATTCCAGTATCTGCAGTTTGGGTTGATCAGAATAAAGAGCAAAGTTTGTTGCTATCAAAAATGCAATTTTCATGCTCTGGAGAGAATGTTAGTCACCACTACAATGATGAAGTAGTTGGAGTTCCAAACCCAGATGAGCTCCATACCACCTTGAGACAAGAAATGGACAAAATTCCTTGCCCCAACAGAACACAGTAACTGAATACTTTCTTTGTTAAATTACATAAAACTTCTAAAATATTTTATCACAAGGCAGAGACCAGGGAAGGGGTCACTGCATGGCTGCTTCTTCAGCTTTGGGGTTGCAAAGTAGTTTGCAATTTACATATACTTGAACTGACAAGTTTGTCTAAGCTTTCTACTGGTCTTATGAGTTGGTTTTTGGGTTGCTTGGGGAGAAGGGGTTGGAAGGGGCTGTGTGTGTTTGGGGTTTTTTTATTTTCCCTCCTCACCCCCAGCATTAACTTGTCTTTGTCTCATCTAAAAAAAGTATGCACCTATTGGCATAATGTGATCTTAAAACTTTTTAAAAAACTGTATGTAGGTATGCTGTTTTGACAATCCTTTGCTTATTTACACACATTAATACATTAAATTAGTTGCAATGGATCCTGAGACTGTCATTAAGATTAGCAGGCCTCATGCTACAGTGTGTTAATGTCCATTCTGTACTTAAGCCAAACATCTTCACTACTGCACTAATTAAAATAATAATAATTAAGCAACAGAGTAGTACTACTGCCATCAATAGTCTTAGAGAGATTTTACAAGAACTGTGTAGTCAGGGTTCTTGCAAGGCAACAACTCATTAAAAAAACCCAAAACCATTCAAGACATGTATAACATTCTCTTTTTTTACACTCCTAACAGAGAGAGAACATCACAAACATATTAAAAGTTTTCCTTCTTTTTCTATTGGCCTGACCTCTGTCCTTCGAAAACTTTCTATTTTAAGCAGCTAACACTATGATGGGGCCTCTCTTAGTCTTAATCACATTTATACATCTGTTCCAAACGTATTTTAAAAAGCATGCTTACAGCTTTAAGAGTAAGATCACACTGGTAAATAAGCTCCCGAAGCTGTGTTAGGACATCACTTTTAAAGTTTTCTAAATAATTTCTTTTTTCTTCAATCTCTGCCATGCTTGCTTTATAGTGTTCATTGGCCTCTTCAGCCTAGAGAAAACACAAGTTTAAAGGGTTGATGGACTACAGGCCTTGATACTAGAAGCAAGGAAAAAAAGAAAAAAGAAAAAAAAAAGACTGAAGATGCTTGTAATTGTCACTTTCCATTAAGGATAAAAGCCCAAAGACCATAGCATGATTAATATTAAGAATTATGAACAGAACACTTGCTCAAATGCTCCTATTGGGAAAGCATGAGTAAAACCAGTGTAGGCTTAACCTTAAAAACAAGGAAGAAAAACTCTTACTTTTTGAAGAGCTTCTTCTTCTAGCTTTCGTTTTTTTTCCAGTTGCTTGCTGAAATCTTTCACAAAGCTTCCACTTGAGCCAAGATGTTCCTCCTCAGCACGAGCAGTGCAAGATTTTGCCTTTTCATACTCATCTTGACGCTGTGTATATAACAACTTTGCTTTTCTTAGAGCAGATTCCAGCTCTTGCTGCAGAATGCAATGAAAGAAAAAAAGTAAGAGTTAATGATTTAAATTTTCCAGTTAAAACATCACATTAAAGTGATGCTTTAAGAGGCTGTTATACAGAGAGCTGTATGCTGCAAAGTACACAGTCATAGAAAGATAACCTCTTACGAATATGTAATGAAATTGATAGTTACATACTACATAACAGCCTAGTTTGAAAGTTTTGTCCTTCTGAAGAATTTCTGATTGAACAGTTAGATATGAAAGAAATACCTACCATTTTTTTCTGTTCTCGTTGCCAAAGCTCCTTGATATCTTTCCTTTGTCTATCCAACTCATTTTTCCTTCCAAGAAGAGGCTAGATAAGAAACATTAATAGAGTACATCAAAGGCTTACAGGCTGCAAGTTTGTTCTTTTGAATAATCTGTGTTGTTATAAAACTTTTAAAAAACCTAAACAGTATCTTGGTCTTTTTCTTGAAGCTTACCTGCACAAATTTGTTAGACTGGAGAGCAGCAGCTGTTTGTTGCCAAAGTTGATTGTTCTCAATATCATTTTGGAAAGCATTAATGAATATTGATTGGAATGGCATATAATCCTAAAATTACATACAACAAAACATTAATGTTCTAGGCAAGGTAAAGGTATGATGACATTCTAAATGGTTGTATAACTGAACTTGATTTTCAATTAAATATAGTAAGGTACTTAAAATGGGTGTGGAAGTCAAAGTTAGGTATGAATGACTAATTTCTCAGTTACGTTTCATTTTACTAGGAAAACACTCTGAAAGAGATGTCTACAAGTCCAAATCACAAAGCTTACAAGATATTTGACAGAAAAAGCATATTTTGAGAACTATAAGGTTATTCTGCATTTTCAACAAAAATAAATTTATATATCCAAATTTCCATATGAGATGGGAAGACAAAATACAGCAGATCTTTAACTAGTGATTTACAGTATAAATCAATTCTGTTATCAACTTAAAAATCAATTTCTCAACATCCCCGAAGTTTCACTTTTGGGCAAGGCATCCAATACATATTTAAAGATGTACTCACCTGGTGTCCAACAACAGCTTTAGCAGTTTCAGCCATTTTTGCTAAGTTTTTAGCACACTCCACTTCTGTTAAAAAAAAAATTCACAGTTACTGTTTACACTAACAATTGTACCTCATGCTAAATGCTTTTTACATTCTTCCTCTCTAACAGATAGAGGGGACCACCTTCACTTTGTTACAGGCTTTAATTATAGGAAATGCGTGATAGTTCTGTTCACTTTAGCGGAACAGCTACTAATTTAGAAATCACATTACTGACAGTCTGCAGCACAGAGGTCTGACAACAGATTTAATTTCATCATGACAAAGCTGATTAAATGCCAGAAAGAGCCACTCACCCAAGCTAAGCTTTTTTTCTACCCATGCGACTACATCCTTGGTATATTTTGACCATGCTTTAGCATAGGACAGAGCTGATTCAATTCCGCTGTCATTTCTTAGGAGCATTCCATCCACGTCCTCTGCTCGAAGATGTCCTGAAAATAAAGCATTGAACACAAAGAAGTGAATTTTAGACATGGCCACACACTGAGAGCAAAGCCAGTATTAGCCAACTGCGAACACTTAAGCAGCTCTGATCTTGAGCTGGTCTTTAATACTAGTTGACTCTAAACAGGACTGACAGAGGTTTTAGAACAAATTAAAAGGTCATAGTATTTTATCTGGAGTAGTCATATGGTCAGCATAACTTTCTTAAAGAAAGTGACCCAACAAAACACTGATCATATGACGACATACAGAAGTGCTTCAGGCCTTGGTTCTTTCCCTCCCCTCCCCAAAAGCAACCCAGGTTGGTTATTCACATAGGCATAAAATCTCTGCAACAGCAAATTTTTTACAGTGAAGTTTTAATGGCGGCATAAGTGTAAAAAAGTGACCAAGCAACTTATCTATAACATTTTAGAAGCTGAAAACAAATACAGAATAGTGTTTATTAATATTAAATTAATTACTTACCTTGAATATCATCCCTTTCATGCAGTGAACCCCCAGACTCCACAGAAAGATTTTCAAAAGACTGGTGTACAAGAAAAAAACATTAAGTTGGGGAAGAAAAGTTCTCACTAGAACTGACAAGCTAACAAAATAAATGGCATAATCTGATTTTTTTTTTCCAGATAAAACAACAAACTGTGCTGTAACTCCCCCTCACCTAAGGCTCAGTACCTTCTAAGCTTCCATAGCTGTCGACTGAGCCATAATAAATAGCAAGTAATCATTATATAACTTTAAACCAACAATCTTGAAAGGCTGTGGTAAATGAGTTAATTGTTTAACCAATCAGGTTGATATTTAAGTGACCTCCAGCTCTGCTTAGATCCCTACCTGTCTTTTAAAAATCATTTCATACAGACCTAATACCATATACATGTAACAGACACTATTCTACAAGCCATTAGAATCCTGTATTTCTTCCTCAAGGGAATAAACTTATGATTTCCCCTAAATTACTTGCAGGTGTGCACTGTAAACAGAACAGCTGACTAGTAACACTTGCTAATGAAGTCCTGATAATCAGCACAACCTGACAGAATTTAATCCAATAATAAAAGGAATTTAGCACAAGATCACATCCCTATCTTTGTCCTCATGCTGCATTTTGCTATCTCTTTAACTGTGCAAGTTGAACTATTAAACTGTAAACCAGGCTGCTGAACAAATTCAAGTGAATAAAAAGTTTACCTAGTAACCACCCCCCCTTTTATAAAACACAAAATATAATACAACCCTACATAATTTTAAATTAATAAACTGTTCTTGAAAACAGAAGCAGAGAGCAGAAGACAAAGGCCAAGATATAGCTGCTAAGTGTCCTTAAGCTTTACAGGAACAGCTTGTTTCTATTTTACATTTTGGTGCTGTTTTATTTTGAGACTTAAAGCTAAAATGGAGCACAGTAACAACAATGCAGGCAGTTTTGTTTGGTTTTTTTTAAAAAAAAAAAAAAAACATAAATGGAAACTGATCATAAATCACACAAAAATCCCTCAACAATCATTGTTTACTTCACAGCAAAAGATTTTCCATATACCAAAACATGCAAGGTATTAATCATCAATTACATCAAACAGAATCAAACTACAGTCTAAAGAACAGCCCCATTCCTAAGAGAGCAGAAGACTAGTATAATTGCTGTACAAGAAAGCTTCAGTAAAATGGAAAGGTTTTTTCAGAATAGGTGGGAAATCCATCCAAAACTGTCTATCAAACAAACAGTATATAAAAAAAATCTGCAATTAGAGATGGATCAATATTCAGTGGCAGAGAAAGCCTGCACATTCCTAGATTTAGTGCTGATTTGGGTGTAAAGTATTACTGTCTTGAAGTAGATTTTAAAGTGGCATACAGTTTTTAGGGAAGAACAAATAAGAATAGGAAAAAAAGCCATCCTTTATACAGGAGGCACACACAAGTTCTGGTCCTAAAAATTATTTCCCATTCTGTAAGACCTAAATAATTTCAGACATGAGAACTGTTCATTCCTTTCCAGTAATCCAGGCATACAACCTAGTTAGGACAGCTAATCAATGCTCATGCATATGTAATACCACGTTTTAAAAGCAAGCACATGGACAACTACTTTTACTTATGTCCTACAACTCATTATCAGAACATGACCCATACAGCTTGCCCCCTCAAGCACCCAATGAGTTATTCCAGTGAGCCTAGGGTGGGGGGGAAAAAAGCCTGACTTCACTTCTCAACTTTAACCAGTCTTTTCTGCCTTTTTTTCCCCATTACCGAAGAACTCTCACCCTGACAAAGGCAAATCTCTGCACGCATTTTCAAAATTTTATCCTCCTCTATTATGTTCTCAGATCTACATAGCATCAAATAGCATTCAAATAGCTTGTTGAGAAATGAAAGGTCAGACATGCCTGTCTTGGCTCTTCCAATGTATTCTAAACCTCTTCTATTTTTAATTAAGAAATATCTTTGCTCCCACCTTGTACATCTGGCTGTACTACAAGGGCTAAAATGAGAACAATTACATTTGCTAAGAGGGGGTATTCATATCATTTAACTGAAGCTTCCAAGTGGAATGCCTGAACTAAAGAATGCAGACTCCCCTGCAGTCAAGAGAAGCTAGATCAGAGCAATCTTCAACTGCTTAGTCAGGGAGGTCCCTAACTTAACAGGCAATTGAAATCTCTCTCCTTAATTAACCCTCAAAGCATTTACATATTAAACTCTACCAAAATGTTATGCTCTATTTTTTTTTAAGATACAATTAGCTGCTATGTTCAACCACTGAATGTACACATTCATAGGAATGGAAAGTTAATACAGCTACTTAAATATTTTGCATTTAACTCCTCCTAACACTCTACTCCTAGTTGGCCTCCAAATTGCTCTCTGAATTGGAAATCAAAGTGAAATGCTTTATCTGTTAAATGTGTATCTATTTGCCCGAATGAAAATGCACTTGTATTTAGGACATATTTCCAATAAATTGAACCATATTATCCTATCTGCTCCAAAATTTATAATTGATCCCTTCCACATCAGGAAAAACAAATGGCACTACAAAAAAAGGGCTTTTAAAAATAAGCTGGTGAGTTCTGAAACGTCTAGAATAGAATTCTCTCATTTCACTATATTCTAATTTCCCCTTGGTCTTCTCCCACCTCCATGTTCAGAAGAGTCATCTTTTAGCCAGGCATTCACTTCACAATACAATATATGCGACCATCTGGTTCCAGAGGAACACATTTTTGCATTGCAAAGTCATTACAAGATTAAAATATTGGCAAATTCAGCAGCTTCCTTCTGCTGATGAACCAATTAGCTGAAATAGTATTTGTTCAAATAATCTAATTTAAGTTAAATGATATACTGGCTTCTATGCTATTTTACTTCATATTTTTTATCAGCAACCTAATCCTCTGATTCTAAGAAGAGGTCATTAAACCTTTAGCTTCTAGGTCTAACAGGTCTATTTTAACTACTTCAACATGTAAATCACTCAAGTATCTTACTTAAGTATTTAGTTATTTTCACTTAACCAATTTAAAAATCTCAAATACAATTACAACAGGTTATCATTTACATATTTGAGCAATAGCCTTGTTGAGTCATCACTGGCATTTAGAAGAAAAAATACATTCAAGTACCTGAAACCTGGAATGCATTATTTTTTTTTCATGGGTTTAATCTTGTTTTAACACTTAGAAGACTCCTAGTGTCCCAACCCCATAATGCACAGTTTCAGTGGAAATTAAAGTCTCCTTTAAAAGAGATAATTCCACACGCCAAGGCAATGTGTTTAGCCTACCTGACTTCGCCGAGATACAGGAAGCCCCAATGACGAGCCATTGTCTACATCTCCCATAAGGAAGTCTGAAACACTGCCAGAAAAACAAAGAATTATGTTACTTCATTACTTTACCTCACCAAGCAATTTCAGATCACTGAGAACAAAAATTCAAGACAGTGTTTCTAATATCCTTTGAAAGTTCTGCAAAACAATTTTTGTAAGTAGTCTTATATTTCCTGCAATTTCTATAACATCACCATTTTCCTTGTTAAGGAAAAAAAAAAAACCCAAAAAACCAACCCACACCACCCAAGCACAGCAGTAAAACTCTTCTGATGTGGTTAATTTAAATTATTTTATCAGCTAATATTTGTCCAAAAGAAAGCTGAAGTTTTCATTTTTCTTGTTTAGTCTTAATTTGATTCAGCTCCACTGAGCTCTTTAAAAACTCTTTCTGGATTCCAACTTACACGTTTCCAAAGGTGAATGCCAATGTTTCAATGGAAGAAAATATTTCACTGAAGAGTTCTCTCTTATTTTCGTCATTAACTTCTTTGAAGTTCACCGCTTAGGAAAAAAATGAAAACCAAAGGGTGGGGTCAATCAAGCAAGTTTGCTGGGCCTAAAGACAAATCCTATACACAGTCTCCTACACAACATGCAACATTATACCTTTCTGGACAATTGAAAAAACACTTTTAAACAACATTAGTGAGAAAGTAAACACTAAAGGAAGGAAACTAACAGAATCCAGATGCTTCCCACAATGAAATCAGATTACTCTCTCACTTCCTATATCTTCCCACTTAAGAAGCAGCTTTGTGTGGGAACATAATGGCAATGTGAGGGGAAGAGAAAAAACAGTCATTTACCAGTAAGAGTCAACTCACACAGCAGCAGCACCACCACAAAGCAGCTCATAAATGTAGTCAAATATTTGAAAAAACATTTCTTTTTTGAGTCAAAATTTCAGAATTCAGAACAGGAGCAGCACTTTATGGGGGTACCCTCCCACTCTGGCAACTGTATGCAATCCTGTGTATGTATCCCAAACATAGGATTTCTGGCTTGAGTACAGACAAACAGAAAGCTACCAAAAGATAGTGTCCATTGCAAAAACCTTTAATTATTAGCTCCATTGTCTGTCAAAAGCTCCTCAGTTTTGCCTGTTAAAAGTGGGTAAGAATCTCAGCATAACTATCTTTGTTCCAAAATAGGAAAGGGAGTGTTCCTGGACAAACTAGACGGTTTAAACTGGTGATCACGACCAGTATTCACGCACTCAACACTGAGCTTTTAACATGCTTCCATGACAAACTGGAAAAATGACACAAGAAAAATTATTCATCCGGAGTTTCTATTAACAACTACTGGACAAGTGGGAGGAGGGAGAAAGGAAAAGACAAAAAGCACAACCATTTTTGTCTGTTTCCAACTTAACTCCTTAATCTTTGGTGACTGGGAAATTTTTTGTAGAAAAGTCGAGTACACTCTTTTGAGCTGAAGCTGAGCCTTCTAGATGTAAGTTTTCCCAGTTTACACTACGAGAAGTGACCATTTCACATTAGTATTTATTTTTTTAAAGCTTAATTTTTTTTAAGCAATGCAGTATTCTTAATTATCTAGATGCTTGAGTTACACTCAGGATCATCTGTTTCAGAGATACTGCAATGAGACAGCTATTAATTGCTTTTGCAAGACCTGTAACAATGTTAATTTATGTATCCTCCTCACATTTCAAGTACAAGTATGGAAATAACTGACTGCAATGACTTCTAGAAGTAGAAAAAATTAAATCACATTAAAATGTTGCTCATTCTATACACATTTTCTTAGCAAATTAAAGTAACAGACTTTAATCTTAAAATGTATTCAAACTTCCTGCCAGGTGCCTAAACACTAATGGGTAGCAAACAAAGTACAGTAATCTGCTCACCCATTCGACTTCCTCTGTGAAAGGAAAAGTTTTTAACCAGTAAATTAACACAGCTGAATCCATTCCTTTTTACACAGCATGCCAACAGTCCTGATCAACATTTTTATAACAACCACTTCTATACAAAGCTATTACAGAAAATATGTATTCTTCTCATGGGCTATTTTCACAATTACTTGCAGATTTGGAAGAATGTGTCGTAATAAGCCTACAGCAATAAAAGAAAAAAATTGCCACATATTACAAAAATATTAACAGTCTGTTGCCATAGTTCACTTCTTAGTGAAGTGAACTAAGTGAACTAACTAACATAGTTCACAGCTTCTCCTACCTCTTAATTCTTTTACACTTCGTAATTACATTAAAAAATGCCTCTCGCACCTTTGTTTGAAATGAGACTCAATAAAATTCCACAGATAATTTTTTTAAACAACTTTGTAAATAATGGATTTTTAAATTATTTTGAATTTTTAAATTCAGGTTAGTTGAAAACCTCAGCCTTCCAGAGATAAGGCTTCTTATAAACCTAAGCTTTGTATTCCAAATAATTAAGCAACAACAGTTATTACAAGATCTACTGATTTACCAGCCACTACCGACTGGAAAAATCATTTGAGTGCCAGCATGAAACACAAACTGTTTCAAAACTAAAAGGAACCAACAAAAACTGTCTATACATTCAAAGCACTTACCACTGGAACATTTGTATGTCCATTAGCTAGCTGCACGGTCTTCAGAGAAATAGCACTTCTTTCACTTTGCTAACAAGACATCAATATAGATAGCCTCTCCCTAAAGAAATGCAATCTGTTTCACTCTGCCTTCCTGTTCCAGGAAGAGTTTTGTTAAGCTTTACATGTCACATACCAAACAAATCCTTTCTTTTCAGGATCCATCACAAACGGAATAACCAATCTCAAATTACCACTTCTCCCAAAAAAGTTTAGTCCAAGCTTTTAGTAATTCAGTGGAATACAAACAACTTTCTTCTAGCTTACTACCAGCCACTAGAATGCTGATGTACTTAACATCAACTTTAAACCATGCACGCTCTTTCCCCAGGACATCCTGACTGCACACAATAGCTACTGACAACAATGAACTTTAGTAATCTTTCCATGTCTGGAAATGACAGCTATCTATCTATAGTCCTACGGATTTCAAAGCAAGTATACAACTTAACAACGCTTTTAAGTAAGACTTCAGATGCCACATAGTGAACTTGAAAAATCATATAATAGCAATACATTTAAATCCAGAATCCAGTAGCTGAAATGCAAGTCCAGCTTTCATTAAAGTGGATCTACATTTCCAGAGCTAGCAAAGCTGTCTTCAAACTGAGGTGTGTTCAGTAACCTCATCGAAATGCTGCAGGCCACTGGAAGGTTTCAACTCTTGAGTCAGGCCATCAAAAGCTTTCTGAATCCAGCACAGAACAGGCTGGGGAACCAGCAACAGCCATGGGAGTTTGGGAAGCCAGAATCCCAGAAGCTGAAGCAGCGCCTGAGGACATTTCAGCAATGCTTCTGAAACTATGAAGAAGAGGCTGTCAGCTGTCAAAACCAAAGTGCAACCAAGGCCTTTAAACAATGATGCTTAGATAGCTCACAGTGACCACAGCACACAAGCTTCTGCCATGCTCTCTTGTCCTCTTCCAGACAAATTAAGATAGCAGAGGGGACACAGCCATACCTAAGTCTGCAGGAGTTCACTTCCTTCCTCCACCCCCCACCCCACAAACTGGCAGCAACAAAGCTACTTTGCCAGTGGTCTGCCTGGAGAAGTCTTAACTACACCACCTTGCAGAATGGACTCTTTGCAGGTCAATTTTCTCATACCTAATAGACAGGTACAGTAACATCACCATCTTTTTCCTTAGACAGGGATACATCTTCAATCCATACTTTACTAGCTGACTTTTAAGCAGTAACTAACTGGCTGACTTCTTAGAACTGAATACCAATTTGCGACCAATTTTCTGTTCTTACACTCCCAACAATGCTTTCAAGAACCTTTCTGAACTATTTCAAAAACAAAATCACCACCCAAGCAAACAAAAAAAAACCAAGCAAAAAACACTCCCCCCAAATTAGGACTTGCAATACTTCTTGTTACTACTTCTCATCTTTAAAAATGTGTAAAAAAACCAGGGGGAGGAATCAGAGTAAGGAGTAGGTAGTAGTATGCAGACTGGAAAGAGGCAGAAGGGTACTCTCAGATCTCACAGCTAGAGAGGATCAGCAGGCTATCCAGGCCCCACCAGTTCTCTGTGCCACATAATTTCACCAGCCTGTACTTATTACCAAGTTTGGCAGCCTCCCCAGCTTTAGCTGGATCCCAACAAAACAAGTTGGAGGAATTGTTTCCTACTCCCTCCATAACAAATTTTACTCTGAATTTACAGCACAGATACCCCACCCAAGTTGAAACTACTTCATCTTGCTATAGGTATTTAACTTTGATGCAGAACTATTACAAAAAAAACCACAAAAACAAAACACCCAACATACCTAAAAAGGGAATTTCTACAAGACAAGTGCAAGTTTCAGCTTTACCAGGAATCTCTGTTCATTCTAGTGATTGAGTTAAGTCAAAAGGCACAATTCAGAGCAAAAGAACAGTACAAACCTGAATTCAAGAAATCAGGAGAACCACGTCCTCTGTGGCCATCAACTGTTTAAAGATACTGAGTAAGAAAATAACAACTATGAGTATCAGGTGTGCCAGACTGGGAAGTGACTTCCAGAAATAGGAGTATAAATGGGTTCCAGGCAAGATGCTTCAGTAAGTCTCAATTCTCCCAGATCAAGTGAAGTGTCTCGAGTACACACAGATGAGTAGTAGAGTCCAAGCAAGAAGTGAGTGAACCATGCCATGTCCAAGATAAAACCACAGAAGTAAAGTTTGGGGTTTTTTTCCCCCTTACATTTTCCCGCAACCTCAGTCTAAAATGGTAAGAGTCTGATATTATCTGTTCTGCCAAACATCATTCTCTGTAGCAAGATTAAGACAACATGCTATCACTAGTTCTTCCTTCAATCTGTCCAAAAGGAAAAGCATCAGACATTCAAAACAGAACTACAAGCACGCTCATTTGCCCTTATGTGAAGTTCCAAATACAAACTAGATCTGAAACCCTGGCCTTATGCAGAGATTCAAAAAGGTCTTTCTAGAACCTAAGCCAGTTATGCTTCTATTTCTGAAGGGAGGAAAAAACCAAAACCCCAAACTGTAAATCCCAGCTTGTTTCTACTTTATCCTCTCCTAAATAAACATCAGAAATTTTCCATGCCAGGTTAATCTTCTTCCTAGTCATAAATCTGACTACAGATACAGAGCGCTTCCATATCTTTTTATAGTTCTGTCCTCCAATGACAAGAAACAGATGAGTCAGATGAACTTCTTTCATAATGTCCCATTAACACAGCCTGCAAAGACAGAGGAAAAAGGATACTGTTTCTGTCCTACCAGCTCCTCACATTCTTGTAGCTTCCTGTTTATTCAAAAGTTACATTACTTCTAGTGAAATAACCGCAGCTCAAAACCTGTGAACACATGGGTTACTGACAGGCCACTGTAAGCAAACTTGAGGTCTGATATGCTTACAATTCACCACAACATGCTGTATTTCTATACTTCAGCTTCCTCAGTTCCAGCAGTTATACACTTCAGTTTGAATACAAACACAGAGCAGTAGGATCCTCACACAAAAAACAGCTGTAAAAAACAAACAGGTGCTAAAGAGAGAGAAGAACTGCCTTCACATTTACCACAGGTTATGCTGGGGGGAGGTAGGCTATTTCCATACAGCACAGTTCCTGCTGTTCTCAGAACGGCAGCACCGAAGTACCCATCTGAAAGAGCTGAGACCCTGTAACTCTGCATTTCCATCTCCAGACACATGAGGAATACAGTACATGGCAGAGCAAACAGCTATAGGTGTTGCTGAAGTTTTCATATAAAAGTACTTGTTTGTATCAAAGGCTACAAATATTGAGGCAGGACTGACTGAGACCACCTTCCTTAGTGTGAACCAGAGCTCCCTTTCCTTACAATTGACTTGGGAACTCCACCAGGGCAGGTCACACAGAGCTGGATCACAGGAACAACAATTTGCCACAGAGCAAGTTTATGTTCACTTTAGCCAAAAAATAACCAGGCGGTTTACATCAGTGTCTCCGTTCTAGGTCCAGAATGTATGCTGCTTATGAGACAGAAGACTAACTCAATGAGAAATTAGTGAGAATACTATGAACAGCAACTGCATGCCATAAATCTTTTATTCCACCAGAAAACATTTTTTATTTATTTACTCAAGCTGGAAGAACACATTTGTATCAGATCAGTACTGCACACCATTGTCACTGTACTTTGTATCCTGTAACAGGCAGTCTTAAAGCTAGATTTTCAGTACCGTCAAACCATTGCCTATGAGAAAATTATTAATAAAGTAATGTAACCAAGGGGGAGTGAAAAAGTCAAAACTTGAGCTCAGTTCTAGCTCAAGGAAAATCACGTTTTGTTACCATTACAAAAATCAACTCCTTTAAAGGTCTCTCATCATACAAGATCATATTTAAGATAGTTCAAGTGAGCTATGGCTGAACACAGACTTTTCAGATGTACCTCAAGTACAGTCTTACAACTCGACCCACCTGAACACATTTGCCAGGAAACTGGAAGACATGACTGTACTGCTTTTGTTTCAAGTGGCATTTTTAGCACAATAAAGATTGGAGTTACTTTCAAAATTCTACAGTTGCACAATATGCACAGTGCTTTCCTAACAGTAGTTTTT